GAAAGTGACCCCCAATTTTAGAATAACGTAATCACAGGTGACGAGTCGTGGATCTTTGAGTATGATCTCGAGACAAAGAGGCAATCCCCTCGCCCAAAAAAGGGAAGAATGAGCAAATCCAAAGTGAAAACGATGCTCATTGTCTTTTTGACATCAAAGGCATCGTCCACCATGAATTTGTTCCTCATGGACAAACCGTCAACGTCAAGTTTTACGTGGAAGTGCTCAAGAGATTCAAACGAAGGGTCAGTCGGGTCCGACAAGACATCGCAGCCGACTGGAAGTTGCACCACGACAACGCCCCGGCTCACACCGACTTTCTTGTGAACAGCTACCTGACCAAGGCCGGCATCCCAACGCTTCCGCAGCCGCCCTACAGCCCAGATGTGCCCCCCCGGACTTTTTTTTGTTTCCTCGCCTGAAAAGGCCGATGAAAGCCAATTGAGTAATCTGGTACAAACCTAGAAAGAGAAGAACATCTGTTTATTGTGGAAGTTATTAAGAAATTGTTGAAACCCTCACCTTACCAAGAACCGATATTTCCTTTTTATGAATTTCTGATGTTTATTTTCAATTTGATACTATTGGTATGGTACTTGTTTCCGATTGGCCAAATTTGCTCCCCTGTACTACTAAAATGCGTTCTGAACGAATTTGCTTCCCGAATCAAATGATAAAATAGGTATGGTAGATGAACTAGGTGACTTATAAAGACTTTCTTGATTTAATATGGGGACTAGAGGTCTTTTTGACTCAAATCGTACAATCTTTCGCTAAACAGAGAGCTATTTTAAGAAAAATCGACTGTAATTGTTAGATCCTTGAACGACATTTTTATAAGCATTCTTTATGTTCTATATGCATTTAAAAAATCACCATCTTATTCCGGGACACCATGTAAGTCATTAAAAAATACACTTTGAGGGCTATCGTTCTCTTTGTTCATTAAGTTTAGTGTTCCTCATTTTACAAGTGCGGCTCATATTCACACTCACAAAATATCCGACAAAACATGAAACACCTCAACATTTTTAGGTGCTGGACAATGTTATCCAAAATGTAACTAGCACAGCATTCAGAGTGTTTGGTAGAGCTATCCTCCAAAGTGGAGGACTGGGTGGTTCCAGCGGTAGCAGCGGAGGTGGCGGAGGACAAAAAGTCAGTGTGGTACTTCCTACATTCCCTCCAGATGAGTATGATGACGAAGAAGAAGAAGAAAGCACCACCCCTGCTGGAACTGACTCCGACAAAGATGCAAACTCAGTACCATCCAATACAAACGAGCAAATTAAAGATACTGGCAATGAGTTGGATGATATGAAAGAGGCAGTGGAGGCGCCCTATCCTCCTGTAATTTATATTCTTTAGTGATTTGATTCTGGGTTGGATTATTTTATTTGTTGGTTCTGATGTTACTGTTTGATTTTGTGCTATGCACGTCATTGGTATTGGGTACATAGGATATGTTTTGAATCTGAGGCCTAAGAATATGCAGGGTGTTCCTTAATGATATGCGAATATTTAAGAGTGTGAATCTACTTGAAAAATTAATGTTAGTTTGCTCTATAAACTATGCTCCAAAAATGTTTCCTTACAAAAACTCGGGGTGTTGAAGTTTTAGAAAAAAAAAATGAAAATTAATTAATATGTTCAGAACCGCTCCAGATATTTCACTGATACTTAGTACGTAGTGAAAGTTAATAATGTTGCGTATTTTTCAATGCAAAAATATATTTTAGCTTTAACAGTGGCGTGCGTACGGGTATTGATTACTGATATTTTTTGAGAAAAAATGGTGCGCCAATGGCTTTTTGCCAAATAAAAATTATTTTTGAATTCCCCGTTCAATTTAAAAGAAATAATCTCTCCTGAATTGTTTTCTTTTGATGCGCCATTTTTGAGTAAAAAAATAAAAACCGTTCTGTTGTCCGAGAAAATTAATGTAATAATTGAAGAATGCAATTTAGCAACAAATATCTAGTTGCTCTGGAATATGTTACTGGCTTTTGACATCTGACAAGTCTCAGTTATTCAAATCTGTTCGCTGTGACATCTTTTTCATTATTTAGTTTTTACAATCTTGTTAAAAATGGTGAATTATTCAAATGCAGAAATGGCGGAAATGCATTACATATATGGCCTTGCCGACGGTAATGGTGAGCAAGCCAGACGGATTTATCACCAGACATATCCCGATCGTGCTTTGCTAGATATTCATATATATTATATATTCTAATATTCATCGTCGTCTTGTTGAAACTGGTTCTGCCCGAAAAGGGTACATCTGAAGGTATAGCTCTAAGTGTGAGAACACCTGACATTGAGGAAGCAGTGCTACACGAAGTCGAAGAGCTTCCTGAAAAAAGAAAGAGGAAGATCGCTAGACACTTAAATATTTGCCATCAAATTGTTTGGAGAATTTTAGTGTATTTTTTGTAATATCCCTGCCATATTTTGTTGTTGTTGATGTTCATTACCCGTAATGTGTTTAATTTTTCCTATTAAGTTAATAATAATTTTGCAAGTTAGGACAATAAAACAATTCAAGAGAGATCATATCGTCGGTCTCCGAGTTACGTCGTACTTTCACATATTTTTTGTAGTCTCCCACTTCACGGAGTGACGTAGCTGTTCGCTACTAAGAATTAAAATTTTCAGAAAATTGACTAAGTTATAAAATTGCGAAAACAATTTTCACGTACCGGCTTAAATAGATTTACACCTCTGCGTTAAAACTGGTTCTACATCACTTTAATCTAACAAAAAGAAACAGCAACATTCAGACTGAAGAATCAGTATGTCATTTTCAATCTCATTTATTGCTGATTTTCTTTTTCTAGCTCTCCTGTAAAATTGGTGAAATGCTAGTTACGCCGGTACGTGCGGAGACCGACGATATGTTTTAAATTAAACGGGCAATTAAAAAATAATTTTTATTTGGCAAAGAACTATTGGCGTACCATTTTATTTTTAAGAAATATCGAAGTCAATTCCCCTTACGCACGCCACTGTTGAAGCTAAAAATTATTTTTGCATTGAAAAATATGCAACTTCATTAACTTTCACTACGTACTAAATATCAGTGAAATATCTGAAGCGGTTCTGAAAATATTAATTAATTCCCATTTTTTTTCCTAAAACTTCAACACCCCGAGTTTTTGTAAGGAAACATTTTTGAAGCATATTTTATAGAGCAAACTAACATTAATTTCTCATGTAGATTCACACCCTTAAATATTCGCATATCATTAAGGAATACCCTGTATATTGTTCTATTTTTCGACCTGTACAATAGTATAAAGTATTTTTTCATTCAAATCTCGCTACCTTTCCGACAAATAAGAACTAATACACTGTCTTTGTTACTACATTCGTGTAATCATTGCTTTTTCATATCTAACTTTCTCACTTATTAGCTAACCTACTTCAATTTCTAGGTACAAATGGTTTCAAAAAATGAAACTTTGTCTAAAGATATTAACAACTAGCGCAGCTACTACGAGAAATTGACAAAAAATTGCTGAATCGAAGAAGGAAATTTCGTGTAGGCAGAGGACATCTGGTCCTGGTGGTTTAGGTTCTATTGGCGAGTTTTTCTTAATCGTCTGTGCTCACCAACCTTAGGCAATTCTGACAAGACCAGCTTTGAGGAGATATTACGATTTCCACGGAACAAGAATCACTCAGAAAAGCTTGACGCCTTGTGGACTACCTATGTTTGCGTGGACTTTTCTGCCGACCTTTGATTTACAATAGAGTCTCAAAATTGTCAAAGTGATCGAAATTCATCACGTTTAAGAATCTCACATCTTCCTGTATCTATTGGTTAACATTTTGTGATGGGCTTTAGGCGATTATGATGATTTATTGTGATCGAATTTGCTGATTTTTTTGGGAACTTACTGGAATGATATTGTTGAAATATGTTTCAGATCTTGCTTTCTCATTAAGCTAATAAATTTTGACCATGTTGCTAAGTATCTGTTTTTCATGATTTTGTCTTTAGAAGACGCAAATTTCGATATAATCTTTATTTGAAAGTTTCACTTTACTTTCACCTAAAATATTGCTACATTCAGTTATATCTCATATGTTTAACTTTGTTTCTTTCTTGTTGCAGTCCTCCGCCAGCGAAACGTCAGACTCGGACTCGAGCAATACGATCGCGAAACGGCACGTGCGAGTGCCTCGGGCTGCGGAGACGGAGCAAGCTGCGGAGGAGGAGGAGCACCACGATCAAGAGGGAGCGGAATCTGCACCGGAACCTGCTGAAGACCTCTCGAACGTTGAAGACGTCGACGACCAGGACAGAGACAAGCGGTATACGGCCGACCAAGGACATGCCGGATCCGGCAATTTCCTATTTGATATCATACGGGTAAGCGGGGCTTAAGGGTAAAGAGGTGGTACTACATGATGCAATGCTCAATGGTCTGGTGAGAACGGCGGGCGTGTAGGTGATATAATAGGAATAATAACGTGCCTTTATTCAACTTTGCATACAAAAACAAAAAAATTATATCTATAAAACTGCAAAAGTGCAAAATTAATTATTGTGACCTTTTCCTGTGTTATGCAGAAGTGCTCGTAATTACACAATTTCATAAGCAAAGCTTTGGAGGTTCGGTTACACACGTTGAAGAAAACAATTTTTAGGAATATCTATGCCGAATCCTGAAAACCAAAAATATTTATGTACAAGTAAGGGAATACAAAATAAAATAAGAATCGGAGCATAAGAAAAAGAATTTTCGAATAAAAATGAATGTTACTATGTGATCCGGCAAACCAAGAATATTTCCATACGAATAAGTAGGAGTAGAAAATAAAATTAGAAAGTATGAAACAAAATGTTTGAGTGAAAATTACTTTTACTATATGTCAAAATAGTTAAAAATACCAATACACAAGGTGTTCGCTTTAGTCATAAACACAAAATCTACCTTTGGGTATGTTTTAGATAATGTATCATTTTTGACGCGGTCTATAGCTTCAGGTAGCTTTTTATTGTTTTTGTCTACTGACATTGGAATTGGCTGGTGTCACTAGCTGCATATCTAAGACTTACATTTTGAAAGAAATCAAAATATTTTGGAAGCTCATATTTCTGAATTTACTTGATGTTTTCAAGGTAAAACGAAGATTTTTTATGCAAACATTTTAGGGTTCGGAACAAATTTTTTCCAGGACGTATTTGACAAAAGTCTTACTAGACAAGCAATATTAAATAAAGATACAATCACCATCTCGAAGAACTGGTGTCGTCTCTCTCCTAATCATGCATTTTGAATCAAGAAAAATCTTGTGTTTGTCCTTTTGCTCTGCAGATGTCATTTTTTTGTTCACGCGAGGTTGAAAAGGCTGCCATATCAATTTATCCTAGAAATAGAATTATCATATGTAAGGAGCCTCTGAGTTTAAGAAAAACAATCTTTTATTTTATACGATCTACCAGAATATTTGAGCAGTTTCTTAGATTCTTATAGAACACAACAAATAATCCTAAGAAGCTCCCCTACAGGAAGAAGCTAATCCACAGGGGTGCGTTTGTGGAACTTTATTTTTAGAATGCCTAAGTTATTATATTCTAAGTATTCTAAATACGTTTTCTGCGACTACTGTTTTTATTTTAAGAAGTAGAGTGAGCGTGAAAAATATATATTCTGCCGATTTAAGGCACTTTTTAATTACCAAATAAGATAAACAAACAATGGACTATGAGACCATGAGAATGACAAGTGACTACACTCTTAATCCCAAGACGTTCGAGACAGGAAAAAAATTTCACATTTGACGTTCCAGAAGGATTTGCTCTATTTACAAACGCATGGAACAGGTAAAATTATGAATGCTGAAACGCTAAAGAGCATTACAAAGTACGTACACTCTGTAAGAATTTACGAAGCCCTGCATTATTTGCCGCGACAAGACGCGTCTCCGGTTTTCAGAAGCAGCGCACATTTCGAAATCTCCACAGCTTTGGAACTGTCAACTGAAGGCGGCCCTGGTTAGCAACGCTAACCGCCAATGCAAAAATCGCAACGGGACCGTAGACTAATGATGACCTTGGAAAACAGCTGGCTCGCTTAGTCCGTCAGGGACGGATCGACCCTAATATAATACATCTAATGGTTGCACTTTCATAATTACAACCCTGGGAAAATAATTTTGGAAAGCCAGACTCTGCAACTGGAAGAATGCTGCTGTTTGGCTCGATAAGACGCATTCTTATTTAAAATAACGATTTTGTTTCAACACCGAGGCCTACTACCTACAGGATAGAAACATGAATAAAAACACTTGCAAGGCTCGTATTTGCGGATTAGTTGTGTCCATTCCTGAAGGACTGAAGGAGTCAACTGTTTCTTAAAGACACCTGACGTGCGTTGGTTACTTTGGAGTCAAAACATCCTTTGATTCTGCAGCTGAAGTTTGTACACTCTGTATAATTTCTAGTAATTTTCCTCTGTTAACGCAAGCATTAGCACAATAACAAAGTCATACAAACCGTATTAGCAGCTGCTCTATACTTAGTAAAAAAACCTGCCGTGCTTCCGTTCACCTACACACCGCCGTTGTAATGCCAGTTGATTATGTAAATATATTGGACTAGAACAAATTTACCGCTAATTTACTTGTTTGTTATTAATTTTGTTTGTGAACTTTCATAAATATACATGTTTTTTATACTGACGCAAAGGACAACGAATGTCTACTGTCTTGGGTAAGCTGATATGCTGTCAATAACTTGTACATGAATGATAGTGTTTGCGTATTCCTTAGCAATTTTTTGTAAGTTTGTTGTGTTTTGAGAAAAATAAAGTGTCTTGTTGTAACATTATATATGTTTTACCACTGACGGAAGACGTACTGCAAGAAAAATCGGGATAAATCTCGATCCGACCGGTTTACTTCTGAGTCCTTCCTCCATTTTTATTTATACAGGGTGTTCATTTGAAAACTTCCCACCGCGGATTTATCGAAACCACTGATTAAAAGAAGAACGCCAAGGCACGTCAAAAGATTTGTCAAAGGGGACAACTTCTTAACCAAAAACTACTTCACCCACTTTCACTCTCTGCCCCCCAGAGTCATCCCATTAAAAAATTTTATTGACAGGGGGTATCGAGTAATAGCATGTTTGATAGTTCGATTTTTTATCGAAAAAATTATTAAAATCTTTATTTGTCTTAATTTTTTCAGGCCGAAAAGAAAAACATATGAAACTATCATTTTATTTCAATAAGCGTTCAAAATGGTATCCGTCACTGGAAAAACAATGATATAGGCGATGTTCAAATTCCTGAGGGACATTTTCAAAAACATCTTGTGGTATATCGTGGCAGCGGTCGATATTCCAATAGTTCATAATAAGTAATAAAATGTTAAAAATTTACAAAAGTTTTAAAATTACGCTTTTGAAATGTATGATTTTCTTATTTTTTTAGTAACTTATTCGATGAAAAATGCAATTTTCTGTCAAAAATCTCCTAGTAATGAAATGTGCAAATTCTGTAAATAATATCTCTATCTAACAAGCTTTCACTTGAGGTAAAAAAGTTACAACTAACTCAAGTACAAAGACATGAAATTAAAAAAAGATGAGTAAAGTTGTACGAACGATAATTACGTAGGACAAGTAAAAGGCTTTTATTTTAATTACAGTTTTATTTAATTACATTTCCTTTAGTATTTTACAGATTCTGCTCAAATTGTAATCCCCTGTTACGAATACAGGCCCGCATTCTCTTACGTAATTCACTTTTGGTAACTCTAGTTGTTCAACGGCTTTTTATTTGGTCAGCTGCACTGATTATCCTTGTAATTAATTCATCGCGCGTTGGTAAGGGCGAAACATCGTACACCAGGCTTTTCATATGTCCCCACACATAGTAATCCATCGGTGTGAGATCTGGGCTTCTTGCTGGCCCGCCTCTGCCAATCCATTGATTTGGAAATTTAGAGTCTAAATACGCCCGTACTAATCTACTGTAGTGTGCGGGACAGCCGTCGTGCTGGAACCGCATATTTTGTCTCGTCGCCAATGGGACGTCTTCCATTAATGGAAACGAGTGATTTTTCAAGAACTCTTCACACACTTCTCCATTTAAATTGGCGGGCAGAAAATGAGGTCCAATTAAATATACATCAATGACACATTGCCTGACAACCGTCTCTGAGACCCCGTCGGTCTTATTTTTCGGGGGTTTAAAGCTTCTTTATCAGCCCAGTAATGAGAATTATGGTAGTTAGTGATCCCGTCCTTATCAAACTTCGATTCATCGGTCCACAGAATTTTCTTAAAATAGTCTGGATCTTCTGTATCTGCATGTAACATGTACCTGCAGAAATCTAATCGTCTTGCAGGATCGTCCTCTTCAATCACATGCACAGGCGTGTAGTGATAAGGGTATAATCTTGCAGTATGCACAGTAAACCATACTTTGTATTGTGATATACCCAACTAAGCAGCCACAATGCGCGTAGACGTAGTAGGGTCTTCCTGAAACACACGAAGGATTTCCTCTTCATCTTCAGGAGGATAGACTCGGGGTCAACCAGCATCAGTATGTTGCCTTTGAACACGTCCCGTTTGGCGGACGCGCCGATACACAGAATCAAACACAGTAACATGTGGTGTTCTTCGATTCGGGAAACGTTGCCGATATTCACGGCGGGCAGCTGCAGAATCGCCGATATAAAGTCCATAACAGAACATTATGTCTGCGTATTCTTCATTTGTAAACGTTTGCCCGTGCTCGCTATGGCGAGGTCCTGGCGGATCTTCTGCGTCTGCCATGATGATAAAGAAACCACTCGAAATGAACTGGGAAACTCGAAAATAATAATCGTGCGTAAAACGTGTGCGCGTACGCAGTAGTTGATTCCAACTAAACCTAATTCTCACTCGGCGTGCGGCGATGGCGTAACTACAATGATGAATAATAACAGCTCTCTATCTCTCACTCTTCCACTAAGTCAGCTCTTCTCGCTCGCTTCCTCGTCGAGCCGATGCCATAAAACAATCATGGCATGCGAGTCCTTTGAGGACAGTAACGACTTGTTCAAACAGGTAATATAAATTCCTTAAAAATCCAGGCTCTGTGGGTGTCATTGTTGTTTCTCTGCATGTACTTCATATAATTGAACGCTTAGTACCTCAAATGAAAGCTTGTTAGATAGAGATATTATTTACATAACTTGCATATTTCATTACTAGGAGATTTTTTACAGAAAATTGCATTTTTTATCGAATAAGTTAGTAAAAAAAAAGAAAATGATACATTTAAAAAGCGTAATTTTAAAACGTTTGTAGCTTCTCAACATTTTATTACTTATTATGAACTATTGGTATGTCTGCTATGCGACGATAACAAAAAACTCAAAATCAAGCATGCAGCTTTTTGTATTTCAATTTTAACCGTCTGAAATCGGAATAAAAGATAAAAAACTTAAATATCAAGTAACTCAAAAATGGTTAACTTTTGGATAAGACATGATAGGACAAAATCGGTTGCTTTTGACCTAATCTATCACCCCTTAACAGGAATACGTGACATTACAAGTATATTTTGGAAGTAAAGTCTGAATCAATAAATTAATGTTCACTATCCCAAGATAGCAAATTAAATTCTTTCTTTTCCTTAGCGACAAATAACTAAGCAGGTATAACAATAAATACGGTTCGCGCAGGATATCTGTATTAGTGAAAAGAATGCGGATAGAAATTCGGGTTGTTATTTGGTTGTCGCCACGTCTAATCTTCCGAATTGCTGTTTATGTTTGTAGTTTCCGTTTTAAATTATAAACGGATTGTAGACTTGTCAAACCCTAACGGACAACATTTTGAACACCTATTGAAATGAAAAGTGATCTTTTCGTGTGTTTTTTGTCTTCTATCTGAACAAATTAAGATAAATAAAGATTTTTCTAATTTTCTCGAAAACGAATCGACTGATTTTAAAAAATCAAACGGCCGAGGGGAAGGTTGTTTTTGGTTGAAAAGTTGTCCCCCTAGACAAATATTTTGACGGCGTTTTTTTCCTTCAGTGGTTTTCGATAAATCCCACTCAGCACAAACGACACTGAACGAAACTAGTAGATTAGATTGTTTCCTGGAGAACGTTTTTTTTACAATTTTTGGGACCCTAAAATAATGTGTTCCCGTGTTCTTCACAAGGTTGATTTCGTGTTTAAAGGTGAGATTGATGACGTACGCACTTTTTCTTGCGAGCGACGTGGAAATGATTTTTGTAATAATTTCTGTTATTCTACTCCTGAGTTTTTAAGAATTGGCCTCCAAGATCGTACACAGACCAACTGCTGGGCCCTGTTGATCTATATTTGGTAGGTATCACACTTTACGGTCTTCGCGGAGTTCAATATCCCACCTTCCTAACTTCCTGGATACTCGAACTGTTGGATCCTAGTATGGTCTTTACGTACAAATAGCGTCTCAACGTATTGTGGCCTGGCAACAGTCTCGGCGAAAACGTTAAGTAGTGACTAACTAAAGATAGGAAGAAACGTCCACTATTGGTAGCAAGCTCTCAAATGAATTATTTTACCTGATGGAGGTATCCAGAGATGCCAGATTTCAGGGAGTGTGGTCTAGAGATTTACTCCCTTGTTATCGTCATACGGCGTGGCTCACTCAGGACAATGAATCATAAACCCAACGTCTTCAGGTTCCCAAATTGGTGAGGCTGACTGCCTCGATGGTATCTCAACAAAAGTGTCCAATATTCTGAGGAAATGCCGAAGTGACTAAAGCCCAGATTATAATCGACCCGTAAGGGTTGAGTTGAGGATTGATCGATTCTTGGATCAATAATGCAGGTCTGCGTGACCATCAAGTGGAAATTTAACACAGCAAACTGTAACAGTTTTCCTCACAGGCTTTAAAAATTTTCGGAATCTTCAAGGAATTTCAAAGGTTTCGATACTAAATTTTTCCGTAATATTGAAAACTTTCAAAGTCTCAAACATTTATATAAATCCAAAAATTTCAAAATCTTCAAAATTTGTGGAAATTCTTAAAAATTCAAAAGCGTGGAAAACTGAAGCTATGGAGAATTGAACTGTAACGGAACCGAAGTTCAGAAAATTCTAAGAACCCCGAGTAGCTTTGGGTTATTGAACAATAGTGGACATTTTTTAATCTTCAAAATGCAGAAGGTATTGAAAATACTGAAAATATTGAGAATTTTAAAAATTTTGGGGATATAAAAATTTTGGTAACTGAGAAGTTTGAAACTTTTTAAAATTCTGAGAATTTAGAAATTGGAAAGTTTTGAAAGCAAAAAATTTTGAGAAGTTTGAAATTACTAAGTTGAAAATTTGTATACTCTGCTGTCAGATGCAAATGTTAGATCTCTCTCTTGAGAGTCAATCAGAGGTATGTTATTTTTCATTTAAAATTCACCCTCAGTCGGTTCTTAAATCTCGAGGATCGATAAATGTGGTTCTTAATGCTGTGATTGCTGTTCGGTTCTCTGAGCAAATTGTCATTTTTTTCTTAGCCCCATCCCACTTCTGAATACGAGATACACAAGACATAATAGTATAAAATTCCCCACATACACAAATCTAATAAAGACTTTCTTATCTCCATTTCTAGTCCGAAAACGTACATTACATAGCGGCACAAAACTTCTCCAAAGAAAGTGGATTTTTGGTTAAGCCAATGCTCCATGAAAATGTTTTTAATATCAACTAGAAATTAGAAAATTAAAAGAGTCCCAATGTAAACAATCTAAAGATAGTCGTATGCTACCTGAGGCATTTGCTCCGAGTCATCAATATCAGTTCCTGTGTAAGTAAAAATACAAACTCTGA